AACCTCAACCGAGACAAAGGTATGCAAGTAAACTCTATTTGGCATACTGCCCTCCCGGTTTTTTAATTGACCAGCTGATCAATTAAAATACGCTGATTGGCTGGATTCAAGCCTCGTCCCCTACTCCCTAAACACCATCTACACAAAGGGGGGGAGGGGGGCATATAAGGACTACCTTTACCCAAGGGAGCTCAGTATCAGAGTTCTCAGCCCTGATGATGCAAACTGCAACGTTTGCGAAACGTCGGCATATCGCTGATTCAAGACACGGCTCCATTCCGGAAGCTATATCTAGACATTGTTAGTGTAATATTCATCTAATTCAAAAGTTTCCCAACTTATACATATCGCAAGTGTGGATACTTCAAACAGAAAAATTTTGAAGAACATTGCTGTACCTTTATATTTGAATTTAGAAACTTAAGAATATCGGAAAAGTTTACAGAAAGATTTGTAATTACAGATGTGTAATTAGGTTTTCCGTTGAATATGATAAAACAAAGCAACACACATTTACGTAAGTTCGATACGTACAAGAAATACGAAAAAGATAGCGTGATTATGTGAGTGACAATCGTCTTTGTGTTATCAATATTTTTCGAGTTCGTCATCTACTTCAACATTCTCTTAAGGAGATGCCGTCCTTCATAGATTTTTTTCCAACGTTTCATAAACATTTCAATTAATTTTTTCAGGAAAGGTCAACCTGAAATATGGAATAATCGAAATGTTCATAAAACATCGAAAATAAATCCATGAAGAACGAAACCCAGAAGCTATACTGAACATTTCTCTTCACCGCGAACACCTAAAATATTAAAAAATTAATTGTATACTAAGCCTAACACATATATTATTAACTTATTAATTTATTTTCATGATGAGGTTAATGATTGGAAGATTTTGGTTATTTCAAATTTCATTATTTCATTTCAAATTTCATTATTTAATTGAAGAGAGACATATCACAGATATTCCTTAACAAATAGCAATTAATATAAAAAAGAAAAATAATTAATGAATTTAAAAAAAAAAACATCCATAAATAGATCCTTATCGCTTAATAAATCATCACGAGTAAGTTCCAGTTATATACTAAATATCATAAATACAGTTCTATTCTTTAACATAGCGAGATATAAAATTTTTGACTAAGTATACTGTATATAAGATATTCGTGCATCATTATTGATAATTATTCTAGGCATTACCGATTCCTAGAATAAATAACAATCATGATATGCAAATATTTAATCATATGATATATTTGACCGAAAATTTAAAAAATTATTATGCTAGGCAATAAAATTGCATTTATGAAGGTTGATACACACAATCTGAAATAATAGCCTTGACATTTTTTTGGTTTTACGATAATTAAAAATCTCGACCATACACAATGCATCTATATATTCATATATAATTGTTAATTATTCCAAAAAAATAATAATATTGCTTTGAAATAGCTGTATGCACTGACCGTTTTCCATATATGTATACATCCAACTAGCCAAACCTGTGCGAGCAGATTTTGCGCAGAGTCTGTCAACAGTGTCTGTAGACAGAATGGCAACAGATCTGTTGAACACAGAATCTGTTCTGACAACAGATTGGTGACAGACTGCGCGCAGAGCCTGCCAACAGACTCTGACGACAGACTGGCGGCAGATTGCGCACAGATTCTGTTTCGTAGATAGGCTATTTAATTCTATCAAGGGCCATATGTACGCATTAAATGGGATAATTTCACATGCACACCGTGTAAAACTCTGAGAGGAGTTACAATAATTATATTGTGCAATAATTGTACACATATACACAATAAAAAACAATTTTTACCTTTTAAAATTGTATTATACACTTTTTTATAAAAAAAGCAACAATAATAGAGAAATAACGAGTATAGATATAAAATCGTACAACGGTTAAATGGCCAGTTTAAATGGTTATTTAAAGGCATATATATGCCATTCCTGGTAAAAATTCTCATAATTTTTCATACAATTTCTCATATTATTCCCAGACAGCATAATGTCCAAAATCAGATCATAAGACGTCTTTAAGACATCTTTTAAACATCTTTAAGACAAATTTATAAAATATTGTTTTAAAGATGTCTTAAAGATGTCCTAAAGACGTCTTATGACTCAATTTTGGACATTTGTGCTGTCTGGGTTATTATAATTTTTTTAAATGTCATTATGTCATTAAATCTGACTAATTTAACCGTCATGTCAATAAGTATTGAAGGCAGCAGCACCGAATAAAATATTAGTCCCGTCATGTAAATAACTTACAGAGTTTTTTTGTGATGGTTTATTTGAAAATATATCTCATACAGCACCAAATGTCTGAAATACATCTCAAAGACGTTCCAAAGACAATGTGATATCTCTAGAATGTCTCTGGGATGTATTTCGGACATTTATGCTGTATGGATATCATGCTTCAATTTTGATAAAATTTAATACAACTTGAACTGGACGATCGACCAAATTAATTCGCACATGTAAAAGCACAGTATTTTATTAACATAATGGAAAAATATCATTATCTGCTGTTTTATTGCAGTGATTTTCTATACAGTCCCTAGTAGAAAATTAATTTCGAATTATCGTGCCCGTCTCTCTTATATTATTTATATGCTAAACGGTTTCGTCTATATTTTGCGGTTTAAAAGATGAACAAACTTTAAGATTTTTCTTTCTTAAACTTTAAGTGGGCAATACAAAGCACTTTTTATCAAGTGAGGAATTGGCGTAGTGCCTAAGGCGACGGACGATTATTCAAAAGATGTCTTCGGTTCAAGTTCGAATCTCACCAGAGAAAATCTTAAAAATTATGAAAAAATAATATAGAAAAACTTTTTTTTTCCATTATATTTTATGAGTATTTATGAGTATTTATGAGAAAGCGCTCATTCTATGAATAATTATGAAAAATTATGAGAAAATTTTCTACCAAAGATTTAATTGAAGAACCTACAAAACGATAGGATCTGCGCGCAATCTGCCGTCATTCTGCTGTCATATATATGCTACAAACTCTGCGTACTGCTGTAAGTCTGCTGTCAGAGCTTGTCGGCAGATTCTGGCGACAGTCTAACAGCCTATTAGCTCGATAGATGACTATGGATCTAACGACAGGGTCTGCTCGAATCTGATGTCAATCTGACGTCAGTCTGCGCTCAATTTACTTACTGGGCAAGACAAGTTATTGTCCGAAAACCAATGTGTAAAATGTCATATGAGAACGTTCGTGTGATAAAAGTGATTATAAATATTTTTCCTTTGACTATTTGATAGATTATGCTGAGAACTATTTGAACTTTTGAAGTGACTTTCAAAAACTACATTTCCAAATTCCTTTTTACCGCTTCTATTCATCCAGCAAGTCACGCAATTGACGATCGCGGTGCTCAATTTCAGGTATCTCTTAATATTTGAAGGTTTCAAACGCTAGAAGAATCTGATCGAAACTAGTTTCTTACGAAACTAATTTCTTATAATTTAAATTATTTATTACATAATTAACATATGGCATTTAAAACTTGTAAGATTTTAATTATAATATAGCAATAGATTTCTACGTTATCTATGAGATACTATTATTAACATGTTTTTTTTTAGATTTAATTATTCACACTTCTGAGACTGAGCGCCGCGAGCATCAGTTACATAGCTCGCCGGATAAGCAAGAAGAGGTGAGTAGATGTAGCCTTCAGAAATCTCCTCAAAGATTTAAATATTTCTATGCACTGAATTATGATACAATTTAGTAGCATTACTTACTTTTACATTCCTCTGGACTTTCATCAGAATTGTCAGTACAGTCGTCCGATTTGTCGCAAACCCAGGAAATTGGTATGCATCTTCCATTGTTACATCGGAATTGCCTCAAAGGACAAGCAAGCTTACCTGAGAACCATAGAAAAATGCAATATTGCATAATATTAATTCATTTACGTTTATATCGGAAAATCAGTAAACGAGCAATATTCTAAATAAATGTATAGAAAAAATGCATGAGAAACTATACTACAAACTATGAACACACGAACATGGTAAAAACTTATAAATGTATAGAGTTGATTGGAAAGTTTGGATTGCTTGGATTGTTTTGCAGCAATTAAAAGTAAAAAATTGGATATAAAGATGCTTTAATTTTTAATCAGTAATGTATGCAGCACATTTTTTAGCAATGTCGAACCATATTTTAAGTAGCTTCGTTATTCCATCAATTTGGTCGATTTTTCATTAAAGAAATTATCCAGGTGAATTTTGACAACCTCCAAAAGTTAAAATTCTTTACCGTTCAAATTGTTTTTAATTGAACGGAACAGGTGATAGTCCAAGGATGTAATGTCAAAAGAATATGGCGAAACATTCTAAACGAAGTCCAACAATTTTTTCCGAATAATCAAAGACACATAGTTTCGCATTGTCATGCTAAAAAACAATGAGCTTTTATGATACGCCAGTCCGGAGATTTTTTGTCGATCGCTACTTTTAATTGGTCTAATTGCAAATGGTATATATTAGAATTGATAATTTCATTGTTTGGTAAAACTCATAATATATTATTTCCTTCCTATCTAACTAAACACAACATGATTTTCTTTGTGTGAAAGTTAGCTTTGGATTGCACTAATAGAAGCTCATTTCTCTTAGAATCTCCTAGAATCTTTTTTTCACAATATTCGTCTTTAAATATTTACAAAATAACTCATTCTTACATTTATAGAGCAAATAAATAGAGACGTAGTCTCTATTTATTAATTCTTTTTACTGAATACATGAAATACACATTTCAGTAAGCACAGAACACACGCACATACACACACAACTTATTTTTTGTTATAATAATATAACAGTAAAATAACTTAAATATAACAAGTATAGTGTTTGTATTATGTGATGTATGTGTGTGCATGTGCGTGTGCGCAGTGGCGTAGCCAGAAAAAAGTTTCGGGGAGGACTATACTTTTTATTTTTGACAAGCAAAAAAGGTCATTCGAAAAAAATTTTTCTCACAGCGTAACCCAGAAAATTAATTTCGGGGGGAAAATTAATTTCTGCAGCCTCCTCAACCCTCCTGGCTACGCCACTGCATGTGCGTGTGCCTTTGCATGTGCATGTGTGTGTGATGTATGTATGTATATAACATTTTTATATATAAATATTGGATTCTTCTCTATATCGTGTTATATGTAAAACATAATGCATTAACATATATAACAATCACAATGATTATGGTGCAGCAAAACTTGTACTATATTGTCCACTCTCCTAGCAAATAACTAATATTATGTCAATATGACAATTTCCCACTCAATAATGTAATTGTTACATGACACACATGTAACAATATTTATTTTTGAGTGAGAAATTATAATATTACTGTTAGTTCATAACTACTACTGAGAGTTATAATAAAGTAGTATTTTTTGTTCAAGAATAATAACTTTTGTCAATAACGATCATTCCTACCAAAATATTATTTATAATCGTGAGAATAAATGTATTTTAATAGATAATCTATCTAGAATAGCAAGATACTTTTATATTATTACACCTACTAAATATAATTTTTTATATGAAATAATTATTGCACTTTTGGAAATATATTTTTACAAATTAATTAATACTTATTTGATAATTTGTAACCTATACATATAATTATATACTTATGATAACTGGTAAATAGATAATTTATATTCCATTTATAATATTTTAGCTATTAATGTGTACGTGTGCGCGTACATGTGTGTGTGTACATATACACACAGAGAGTATTCAGCGTAATAGTCCGCACGATTTTTCAGATACTTCCGACAGTTTAAAGAAAAGGTTGCAAGATAAATTTTCAACTGCTTCGTGCAGACTACTTTCAATAATAAAAGGTTAAAAAATTATTTTTTATAAAAAATCGTGAATTTTTTAAATAGTACTATGCACTTTTTTACATAATATTGTAGAGAACTTTAAAAAGAATTCAACACACTATGACAAATGTCACTTTTATTAACAACAATAGTAAAACAATAGAAAAGTCTAACTTATAAAAGCAAATGTTTAAATTGCTTGCCTACTTCTGCAACACAAAATTACTGTGCGTAGTAGCTATTAGGCTATATATAGATCTAAATTTGCACAAGCTGTAATTATCTTTTCTTGAAGATCTCGAACAGTATTAATTGATATTTGATACATAAAAGCTTTCAAATATTCCCATAAGAAAATATCCATCGGAGAATCTGTCGGAGAATAAATCTGAAGAATGAGATAGGTTGCTACATGTGTATTTATAACACGATTTCTAAAAGTATTTGAAAATAGCCGTGAGATTTGCTTATAAATACGATTAGTTAAAATAATGCTGCATATTTGATATTAAATATTAGCAAAAATGACATTTATGATAGTGCGTTGAATTCTACATAAAATGATCTACAATATAAAACATGTAAAAAAATGCATAGTGCCATTTAAAAAATTCAAAGTGATTTCTTTATAAAAAGAAATATATCTTTTTTTATCTTTTGTTATTACAAGTTGTAGCACGAAGCAGTTGAAAATTCACTTTGCAACCTTTTCCTTAAACCATCGTAAGTATCTAAAAAATCGTACAGACTGTTACACTGAACATCCTATATATGTATATATAACTATTACATGATCTTTTAGTAACATGTTATTTGCGGACTATATTTCTGATATATGACTATAATTTCATTTAAGTAAGGAATTACAACTAACGTGTATGTTATTTGTAACGTACATAGCACGTTACATGTCGTTACATTACGACAATGTGAGTTATATTATTGTGTTTGCTGGAATATATTATATCAATTAATGTATCCAAGTTTCTGCAAATGAGTTACAACTCATTAACTCATTGAATATTTAAAATATCTCAGCAATTTCTCTTGTGACAACGCGCTGTTTATTTTTAATTAAAGTGGCTATTTGGTTGTCATCAATCAAGAAAGACCTTTCTGAACGTGAAACATCTTCCAAAGAGAAGTCTCCTATTCGAAACTTGGTAAACCACTTTTGATATATATACAGTCATTCACAACATTGTCTCCGTATACCTCCGTATACCTCACAAATCTTCTTATCTATCTTTCGAGTTTGCGTTACGTTTTTGTCTTAGCCATAATAAAAATACATAAGATGACGAAAACATATTTTCATATTTTCCATTTTTAAATCAATATTACGTCACTATCACTTAACAAATTTGCACAATATTTTTCCTTAATATGCTACAAATCTGATTTATAACATAATCTAAGTATCAATTTTATCGATAGAATTTATAAATTTAGTTGATGAGCAGCTCTGAACATGCTCAAAAAATTTTTTCCAAAATATTTATTGTTTGTTATTCCAACATTGTAAGTTGTATTAACTCGGTATCATTATAAAATTAAGTTACGACATCATAGATTATGTTATCCAGTCGTAACTTTTTTTTTAACTTACAAAAGTAAATCTATAAGACAGAACAATCTCTAAAAATGTATAGCATAATAAAACTGTCTGGTCTAAGCTGACTTTTGAGAAACAAAATGTCCAATAAATCAAGAAACATGGTAGTGTCTCGCGCCAAGTGCACGTGTGAAGCCAATGTGTATATTTACACTATATCAACTAGTTGATCACAGGCAAGATTTATTATTCGACCATAAGGACTGACCCTATGAAGTTTTGTATAGGCTCATTTGATTTCTTAGATCCATATTACATAATAAAACTATTTTTATTGTTGGCCTATGTGTTCTATAAGTCAAAATATTCCAGTTCAAAGTGAAAAATCTACAAATACACAATTAGTAAACGTCTTCATCAATCAATTTCTACGATGTCTTTATCCTAAATAATGTCACGAACGATAATAAAAAGTATATCGAAAGGAATGAAAAGGATATTGAAAAATAGTTATTTGTAAGATATCGAAATTTCTGATTTTGCGAATCAATTTGGAATACAAAATTGGTATTGCAGTTCGACAATAATTACTATACGGTTATGGATTTATATCAATCATACTATTAGCGCGTGTTCTGTTGGCAAAGAACGTTGAAATAATTTAATAGGATAAGAATAACAGAAACAGAGTATGATATACATCATATTCCATACTCTCTAAATTTCTTAGAATAAAATCCCATTCAAAACGAGCAAAAATTCACTCGAAACGATTGTAAAAATATTTAAAATTATAAGAGTGAATGTTTTATTCAAGTTTTAAAGTAATAAGTAAGTTTTAATTCTGACTTTATATGATGAATATTTTAATCGATTAAATTAAATTTCTTCTGTGATGATGAAATACATAAAAAAAATTCTTTAATTTTGAGTGAAAATATTTACATGACTTCAGAGTAGAAAATTTATCCAATATTAGTAAAAAATTATCCGAATTTACATTCTGTTAAATAAATACCGGGAATTGTTTATTTAAAAAGTCCGTATAAAAAGTATGAAAACAAATTTTTTGCTGTAAGTACCAATGTATCATGATACCTAATTATCACGTAGAGTTTTGGCGCCATCTATCAATTAGTTTGTTTACAGCTGTTAGTTTTGTTAGTCGATCTCAAGTATACTCTGCGATTTTTAAAATGGATAAAAATATCGAACAAAGAGTTTGCCTCAAATTTTATGTTGCCAACGAAATTTCTTGTGCTGAGTCGTTGAAAATGTTGAAGAAGGCCTACGGTGAGTCAACTTTATCGAAACACGAGCATACGAGTGGTACAAAGCACTCAAAGAAGACCGAGAAGTGATTGAAGACTTGCCTCGTTCAATCAGTCATGTTGATTGTTTTCTTTGATTATCGTTGTGTTGTCCACTTGGAATTCCTTCCGGAAGGTGCAAAAAAAAGGTGCAAACAGTCAACAATATTATCTGGACGTTATAAGGAGTTTAAGAGAGAATGTTCGCCGGAAAATGTCAGATTTGTGGAAGAACAATTCTTGGATTTTGCATCACGATAATGCATCGTCCCACACATCGACCTTTGTACGCAAATTTTTGACTAAAAACTCAATGAATGTCATCGACTAAGCACCGTATTCGCTAGCTATGGCGCCGTGTGACTTTTCCTGCTCCCCAAACTCAAATTACTACTTCGTAGATATCTTGAGGCCATAAAACAAAATTCGCAGAAGGAGCTGTAGATCATACCGGAAAGTGCTTCGACGATTGGATTATTCGTTGGCATAAGTATATCGCATCAAATGGAGCCTATTTTTAAGACGACAAAATAAATTTTAATGATTAAACTAATATTTTATATTTTACTGAACAATTCCCGATATTTATTTGACAAAATGTAAGTGTTAATTTCACTTATTTTTATATAATATTTAATGTAAAATAATATATTTTTAAGATAGCTAATTTATATGTAAAAAAATGTGATATCTATATAAATTTACCTACTTTAAAAAAAAGAAAGTAAAAATATATATACATTTTTTCGTCCAAATAAAATGAAAACGTTAAAACGAAATGTCATTGTTTATTGTTATTTGTATTTCCTACAAAAAAAATAATATCAAAAATTTAGATCAAGTGAAAATAGCTTCTGTAAAAATAGTAATATTAAAATATTACATCAATTGGAACTAAACAAAAAGTCCTAAAAAATCTAAACCTAAAAGCACTTGGCGTTTCCGTAAACATACACCCTAAAATACAAGCCTCAATAAACTATACGGTTCATATTTCGTGCTAATTGCATTAAAGCATTTTATACATTTAAAATACAAACATTTCAGGAAGCTTAATAATTTTAATGTAACCTGAACACATACCAAGTGATTTTGGGTTTTAATTTTTGAGAACTTTCTGTTTACTTCCAATTGATGCAACATTTTGATATAATTTCTTTGCAGAAGTTATTTTTACTTAGTT